TGGCACATCCAGATGCCTGGCTTAAAAAGAGTGAACAATGAAAACAATGTTTTCTCGAGCAGACATTCCAAAAAGGGCCTAACAAAGGCATCTGAAGATGATGCTGGGAGACACCATGCAGACAGCTGGTGTGTCCCGTGGAAGTAATTCCCTGACCAGCCACACGGGTTCATTGGTTTACAAATATTCAGAAAATTAGTTTGCCATGTCATGTCAATTTTGAAAGAAGGATTTTCATTTATATTTATGATAATGCTGAGCTTTAAACTGAAGGAGAGTTTAGAGGTTTTAAAATACATGCATTTGTAAATCCGTGTACATGGCCAACCAAAGTCGGATAAACTAGCTATGGATAAAAATTTTATAGAGAGTATTTATATCTATGTTGTTCACTCAATGTATTACATCAAAATTGGTACAAAACATTTAAAGGGAAAACATATTTCCAGATAAAAGTTACAGTTACCCACAATGAAATGGAATGAATGCTCTGCGAGAATACCATAAGCAACAAAACCTTTTACCTTATGGAACACCTGGAATTTTGCTGAAAGCTACTTCAACACGAAAATAATTTCCAAAACAAACACAGCCAAGTGGATGGGAAGCAAAGGGTGAAGTGCACGGCTCAGTGGAGCACCCGATCTTACAACCTTGCAAGTCAGGCCAAACTCCCCACGGAAAATGCAGGCCCTGAATTTTAAAGGGAATTCAATTAGCATCCCCAGTATTTCCGTATCAACAGCTGAATGCTAATTAAGAGCACAGCATCAAGCAGCAGCGGAATCCCAGTGCAATAAGCAACAGCACGGCGGCAGCAAATGCGACCTTCAGCTCACATGCATAAATAAGCAGAATTAATAACTACCCGAGCACGGGAGGGTGACTCAATCTGTTTCGATTAGGTGCAGTTCAGCCTGGGGCCTTTGTGTTATATTTAAATGTGTTCATCATGTTTAATTAAAAACCTAATAATCTAGAGTTTCTTTTACTTTTTCTTTTCTTTTTTGTTTAAAGTTCTGATCAGTATTTTTCTCCTCTTTCTCTCCATAAGTTCTACTGATTTAAGTGGCTTCCTGAAATGGAATAATATTTTTAGCATAATGTAAGTGAAACTGGCTGTCAGAACAACTCCCAGATGCGGCAGCCAGCCATCTACTTTGGCTCCATCCAACTGACCTAGCATTTCTTCGAAACGGCCTCTCTGATCTGACCCAGTGTATTTAGCCTGAGAGACCGCCTTGAGCTAGCTACCAACGTGTTTCTCAGTCATTCCACTAAAGCAGAGTTCAACTGCCAGTTTCTGGCCTAGAATTTGCAGAAAACTGCCACAAACCTGGCATCCATTCCACAAGATTTAAAGTGTCTCAGCCCCAAAGAAACTTCAGTAAGAAATACCACATCTATATACACACACAAGCTGTCAAAGGAATCACTGAGAGAAAATGTAAAATGAAAGGCCTCCCACTGTGTCATTTTGAGGCCTAAAATCTCAAGAATTAGTGATTATCTGAAAGACCTAGGATGAAGAAGTTGGGTGGTGTTATCATTAATAATATGGGAATTTTTTTCCAAAAGTAAAACTTCTAAGGTCAGCTTGGGTGCATGTAAAAGTTTTTCTCTGATGCATAATTATTAACTACTACAAGTTTTAAAATGCTAGATTGAGGGGCACCTGGGTGACTCAGTCGCTTAAGCGTCTGCCTTCAGCTCAGGGGGGAGTCTGCTTCTCCCTCTCCCTCTGCCGTTCCCCCTGCTTGTGCTCTCTCTGTCTCTCTCTCTTAAATGAATAAATAAAATCTTTTAAAATAAAAATTAAAAAAATAAAATGCTAGATTGAGGACAATCGTAATTACGGTAAAGAATCCTTAAAAACAGTAATCTTAAAGAGTTGTCAGTATCTTTCAAATCCCTCTTAGACAACATTATTCTCTACCAGACACTATTCTCACCATCAGTTAAGTCCTCACTCTTAAGAAGTTTACCAACTAGGAGGGCAATCAACTTGGAAATAAAGCTGTGAGGAACAGAGCTGGTGATGGCAGCAGGAGAAAGCAAGGGGCAGGCTGCCAACAAACACGGCAAGCAGCAGAAGCAGCTCAGAAGAGGGCGCGATCGTGGCAGGCTGGGCCCAGGAACTGTGCTGAACCTTGTGGCGTGCTGAGGGTTTGGCCTGGCAGCATCGGGAGAGACTCGTCTGGTCAGGGAGCGGTGCACCTGCTGGGGCCAGGGCGGCACAGGCTGCCTGCTCAGAGCACGGCGGGGGGGTTCACGCTGGCGGGTGCTCATTCCACCAACCCTGGCACGCCTGTGGAGTATTCAGTTCATATAAACACAAAGAAAAACAACCTTGTCGACGTTGCTGCAGTTTGAGCAAACTGATATACTGGAGGCAATGATGCTTAAAAATAACTAAAATGTTATTTGGGGGGGTGGGGAGGAAGGGGAGGTAGGCCCGTGTACTCATTTTAGTTGGGACACACTTGTGCTTTGCTTATTCCTGTGATTCCTGGGATGAGAAAATGTGGGGAATTCAACCAAAGGGGCCACATATACACAGCAGGTTACGTTCTCACGCCAAAACCAGCCCAAGGCAGAGGCCCATGAGTTTCTACACCGGGTTGCCACATAAAGCTAGTCAAAGATTTGACTTGGATACGTTCATGAGAAGCTGCCTTCAGCCTATCAATTATTCAATCCGTCTTTCTCATTCACTGTTCAGGTTTAGAAAGTGAAGCTGAACTTCCTATAAATAAGGGAAGCATTTGATCCCTGTGCTCTGCAAGGACTGGATGAGTGCCAGCACATGTCTCCAGTCTCCGACCAAAAGAAGCAAACATGACAAAAATGAGCCCGAATGACAAGGATTTATGCAGTTAAGGATCATTACCATGTCCTCGGAATGTGCAGCACTGTGGAGTCGAGCTTCGCTTTTCAAAAGCAAGCCAGGCCTTTTCGGATGTGCGAGGCTCCCCCTTCCGCCTTGCTCCAAATCCCCAAGCAGCAGCAGCAGGGCCACAGACCACACTGCGCCCAAGAGAAGCAAGTGTTGCAGGAAAAGGAAGGCGGCTTCTTTTAAGTGGGAGTCCTTAATCCCAGAGGACAGGCCTCGGGAGAAAGCACAGGGAGCTCCTGGCTGCCGAGGAGCCGCGACGTGAAGGCAAGGGAAGGCCGAGAAGGGCGCCTGGCGGGGCCCCTGGGTGACGGCCTTTCACACACTCCTTCCATCCTCTCTACCTCCTCACATCTTTCTTCCACCAAGGCTGTTTGAGGAATCTTAAATTTTTATCAAAACTCTCCTCTCCTTCTCACAAAAATGGATCCACAGTGAAAAACGACATCTATCTGACTTGACAAAACAAATCTCACATTTTTACGCTGGCACTGTCTCAAAAATAACATACGTTTAAGAAGTTTCCAACTCTTTAATGATCATGTAAAGTTTTTAAATGTTTAATTTCAAAACAACAGCACCAACTTCCTCATGCATCTGATCAGCTGCAAGCGTTAACGGACTCCTGAAAAAGCTCTCTCCTACACCAAACCTTCAGGGGTCGCTTCGGTCCCTCCCTGCGGCCTCCTAGTCCGCTTCTCCCCCTCCCATTTGCCACCCCCAACACGGCCTTTCCTCAAACCCAACCTCTTGTCTCTGGCTCCAGTGTGCACCCAGGATCTCACCACTTCTCCCCAGCACTGCTGCCGTGCTCTTCAGTCCCTGGCCTCGGGCCTGGAAGCTCCCAAAGCCCCGAAAGCCCACTTGTGACTCAGGGGCCAGAGTGTGCCCTACTAGCAGATCAAGTCACCCCTCTGCTCAGAATCTGCCCATACAGAGCAAAGAGCAAGGTGCCGACCCTGGGTCCGCAGGCCACACATGATCCACTGCCTGCCGTCCCCACCCGCCTCCAGACACATTCCTGCCTACCTCTTGACCATGCCAGGGCCCAGACTTCTCTTCCCCTGGCATGCTTTCACCTTAGGGCCCCTGATCCAAAAGGCTCGCCTCTGCACTAAGGTCTCTGATCAAATGGTTCTTACCAGGCCTTTCCTCAGCCCCTTACAAAAGCCAGCACCTCACCCAGTTTATTCTCCATCCTCATTACCTACTCTATTTTCCTTAGCACACATATGTACCACCACTTGACGTATATTGATTTACAGATGGTCTCTCCTCTTAAAACATAAGCCTTGTGAGGCGGGACCTTCTGTTCTTGATATGGCTCCTAACACAGCACCTGGCACACAGTAAGTACTTAATAAATACTGCCGGCTGAAAAAATGAAAGAGCAAAATCAGGAAAGCACACAGTTTCTAAACACTCTTTGTTAGCATATTTTAAAATATCAGCAACGAACTTACAATCGATATGTCTATCAGTGCCAGCCTTCATCTTAATTTCTTTCAACCTAAAGGGCAAATGTCAAGCAGTAATACTCAGACACAAGACTGTATTTGCAAAAGCACAAGTAATCTGTAAGTCTTTTATGGCAATACCTTTCAGAAGTCACAAGATGGGGATGTAGCTTCATGAGCACTCGGTCTGCTGGGACAGGAATCCATGGGTATTCAAATCTGTATTTGTGGGCACATATCTTATCTCCCCAACTTCTTTGATGGGCCATAATGATAGAATGAATATGTAAGATCCACTGTATTTATATAATCAGGTCTATGCTTCCTACAAGTCACTGGCTCCACTCTAGGATATGTATCAACTGGTTTAAAAATGCTTGTGTCTTAAAATAGGGAGGTATCAAAAGCTGGCTTGCTAAAACCAGCCAACCAACACTACCAATCTCTTTTCTCTTTCCATGAAACCTGAGAAAATCCTTCCCACTAAGCTTACTAAGATCAAGTCTCTCTGTATAATTATGATGCTTGAAGGCTCTTTCCTTGGACTAATGGATACCACAGACATTCCCCGGAGGAGGGAGGGAGGGAACGCACTTGAGAAGCAAACAGCCCAGTGACCCGGCCACAAGGCCACTCCCATCTGCACTCACCACTTCATCCTCCGTCCAGCACTTTTCGATCAGCTTGGGCACAGGCTTCTTTACCAGGCGCTGCAGGGCTTTGCCAGCGTCATAGCCACTTTCATGTAGCTAAAACAACAACAACAATTTCAGTTAGTGAGGTGTGCCAAATAACAGATCTGGAAGCTCATCAATAAAAGAGAAACCCTGCATTTGTTCCAACAGAAGAATCATGGAATGGGCACGTTCGTCAGCAAGAGAATTTGTTCTCCTCCAATCGCCCCCCGGCCCCAGTTCCAGCTGTTCTGGGAAAGGGAGGCAGGTAAGGTAGAGAACATTTTGGGAAGAACAGGAATAGGATTCAGAACAACAGTAACAAACACTTACTGAACGTTCGGCCGGGCACAATGGTGAGCACAATCCGTGTACTCATTATCTCTCCTAATCCTGTGAGGAAGGTATTTTCTCATTTAAGCTTATGGGGTAGGAACTACAGTCACCCCATTTTATGGATGAGGAAACTGAGGCATAGAAAGGTCAAACAAAGGTGCTCAGCACACTAAACCAGCAGGTGGTAAAGCCAGACTCCAGCTAGTGTGATTCCCACCCACTCTTGTCCCATTCCCCACCAAAACAGTTCGAAGACCTACTGAATTATATTACCCTTTAGCATTTCTGAAGTCTTTCAGCTGTAGTAATTTCACTAAAAAAAATTTCAAGTACCTAAACTTTAAGAGCTTTTTAACAAAACTCTTTAACAGTATACTAGCAGTACATGTGAATAAAGATGCTGGTTTATCTACACACTCCTTCTAGGAGCCTTCTCTCTCATCAAAGGTAATAAACTTCCTCCACTTCATATCTTTTCCAACCCCAGGCAGTGCCTGACACCACTCAGCCTCTCTATCTTGCAAAGACATTCCTTTCTTGGTTCATGTGACCCCAATCCCCTTCTAGTTCCAGAGTTTCAACTTGCAGACGATGGAATGAAGTAGCAGACAGAAAGATCCTCTTGCTTACTGTGGCTGTCCCTCCAAAATTCTCACTGGAAATCTGGCTCTCCTTTACAGATCTAGTACTCTGGCACAAGAATCCATTTTGGCTAAGACCCTATCTCCAGCGCCTAACACAGTCCGTAGCGTATGGAGATCTAACAGAAATACTGGTTAAATTAATAAATAAATGCCTTCAACTATTGTCCCTTTGTAAACTCCACCCAAATCTAAATCTCAGCTGATGTGAATTCATTTGACCTTAAGCTGACTAAGTGCCTATTGCATTCCAGGCAATGTACTAGACCCTGGGCATACAGCGGTGAACAAAACAGGCAAAGGCATCCCTGCTCTCATGGAGCGGACCTTCCAATCTTCTCACCTGTGCTTCAATCCCTTATTTGAACAATGCACCAGCATCAGTTGCAAACTCAGAAATAAGGTCCAAACCTTAGTAAGCCACGGTTTTTATTTCCAGGAAACTCGCAAACTCCTAGGGATGTGTTGTAGGGACACAATATATATGAGATGACAAGATTGAGCAGATCATAGTAATTGTTCCTACCTAGGTGTTAAGTAAAGAGCTACAGACTCACAAGAGGAGAGAGTGCTGTGTTTCCCCTCTTTAGTAGAAGACTCATAAGAAGGATGTGCAGATTGCCTTCCTAGCAACTGCTACAGACCCAGGGCGGGGCATATAGTAAGCCTGCGGTAAATATTTGTTGAATAAATTAAAATAGTATTTGAAACATACACAGCAAGTCCCTCTTCTAATTCAACTGCTATTAGAAGGGATATCACAAATATCCATTTTCATTGCTCATTCAGAGAAACAGAAAGTATTAAAAATTAAAATTTCCTGAGTATTCTCACTGTTTGGAGGACCCCAATTTATTTTAAATCCAGGTCTAAGGAAGTCCAGGTTAAATATTAACTGTAACAATAAGTCACTACCTTAAAACAAAACAAAAACCTACAGCAACAGTCAATGCTCGATTCTGTTTTGATGATGGTACAATGTGTGTCTGTGTGTGTGTTTAGGGGGTGTATGTACTGAATATGAATGCTAGATATTAACTTGTAGATTTTCATAACATTCATCATTAGACTTTAAAAAAAATAATATACCATAAATACCATACTAAATAAATACTAAAGTGTTTGAAAACTGTCCAATCTAGACTTATTTCCGCAGTATAAAAAGATGAAAATAAAGTTAGATTTTCAAACTTTGCCCAATATCCAGACCAAGCAGGTATTGTCAAGGTCTATAATACAATAAGAATCTAAAATATGAGCTTAATGACATGGACTAGAACTGAATAAAAGAAAAAATTGCATGCCTATTTAATTTTTTTAGGAGCACATATTTTAGTGATAATTTGAAATCAATTCAAGTTGATCAAATCATAACTTCTTAATAAAAAGCTTATGGAAAATTAACATTTCTTAAGAGGTAATTATAGTATATGGGGTAATTATGAAGAACGTGATAAAAAACCATGGACTGTGGAGCCAGACTATCTGGATTCAAATTCTAGCTCTATTACTTACTAGTGTGGGACATCAGGCAAGTTACTTAACCTCTCTGGAACTTAATGCTGTCATCTTTAAAAATGAGTATAATAATAACATCTACCTCTTAGGGTATTATAAGAATAACGTTAGAAAACACATGTAAATTGTTTAGAACTGCACCTGGCACATAATATGCTAAATGAGTATTAGCAATTTCTTTTTTAAAGGAAAAAGAAAAAAAATAAAGGAAGCAGTCTCTACTCAATTTTCATCGATTTTCTAGATTAGATAGTAGCCTTTCCAGAGAGGGGGGAAAAAAACTGTTAAACTATAAACAAAACCACTTATGTTTCACATAATTACTCATGTTAATAGTTTTTGAAATTTGACTAAAACACTGGTAAAGTTCACAGAAAAAAATTTAAAATTTAACATCTTACATGGCTGGATAGGAAATTACTCATAAGAACATAAGGCCTGTTCCAAAAGTGTACTGCTGAATGAAGTTAAATCAAATGTCATCAATCCCTGTGCCATTCCTGACTTTTGGTGAACCAAGCTTTGAATAGGAGCTGCAAGAAATGTTCTGAATAATTTGCTGAACTTTTGGTTTATTAGAAAAGCTGCCCAGTGCGTGCATGGCGCCCTCAGTTAAATTTCTAGTGAGCTGCTTCTTTGTCCCCTAAACATACCCTGGCGTTCACACTTCCTTCACAATCTTCATTTCACATCACATTGTCCCCTGAAGAAGCTGTTGCAATGTGTGTGTGGTAACCTGGGCTTCCTTCTGCTACTCTGTTCTCTAAATACTGGGTAATTCCCTCCTTTCATTTGATCCACTGTCTGCCCCTCCTCTTAAAATATTCCTGTTCCTGACCTTTCCATGATATAAACCCAATAAATATTTAGTGTCTACTCCTACCCTCTACACCAAGACATATTTGAAAAGTCAGAGGTATGGGATTATTTACCAATAGTGATGAAATATTTATTGAACAAATGAAGTTAGGGTACTATTGTGCTGTCATCAATAATTCATAAAGGCTAGTCCAAAAGCCAGATCCAGGGGTGGCTCTGCCATGCCCTCTTCCTAGGGAACCCAACCAAACCTCTCCACACTTTCACCTTCTTCTGAATGTTATAAACATTTAATTCTACTTTCTAGGAATCTTGTCTGAGAACGTTCCAAGAGTTTTACATCTTTATAGAAATATTTTAATTATATTTAATTAAGGATATACTTTTAACATACTAAAAGTTATGGCCCACATAGCTTCACAAAAATGAAGATTATGTTTTGAGCATTCTGGGAAAATTACTGGAGTTCAGGACATCCTTCATTCCTTCCACAGATGTTTACCAAGTGCTAAACTGGGCCAGACACTACTCTAGGTGCCAGACAGAGATACAGCTTGTGAAGAACACCGATAATGCACATCAGAAATGTAGGAGTGAAAATGGTGTAACCTGTGAGAGGCACTGTAAATTACTAGTTTTGTATAATACGGCTTCCTCAATCTCACATTCAAACTCTAGGGTCCTCAAAGGGTGGGTACTACCTTCTTTAGTCCATGTATCTGGCAACAAGGAAGCCCTTCTAAAAGAGGGATCATTCTCTAGATGATTATGAAGATTTTCTTTCTTCAGATTGGAGCCAAAATAATGTTTGAGGAAGAGCTAAACTGGAATTTCAACTGTATTCCTTATGTATATTAGAATTAAATCTACCAAAATATTGGCTACCTTAAATCTCGAAAAACTGTCATTAAAAACATTCCCCTCAGGGCTCCTGGGTGGCTCAGTCGTTAAGCGTTTGACTTCAGCTCAGGTCATGATCCCGGGGTCCTGGGATCGAGCCCTGCATCGGGCTCCCTGCTCAGCAGGAAGCCTGCTTCTCCCTCTCCCACTCCCCCTGCTTGTGTTCCCTCTCTCACTGTGTCTCTGTCAAATAAAAAAATAAAATAAAATAAACATTCCCCTCTACTACAGCACCAACCTCTAACAAATTACAGTAATTTCATCTGTGGAAAACATTATGTGGGTTTCAAATTTTAAACATCTGATCACAACCATACAGACACATCAACATAGTGAGGAAATTCAGTGCAGGCTTCTCACTATCACTGAGGTAAAAAGGTCCTTTAATGTGAATAAAATTTTCTACCATTTCCCCGGAGAAGATTGTTCAAAGAAACTGCAATGAAGACAGGGGGGAAAAAACCCTCAAATGTCTTATAGGTTCACTTTGTAGCCTTGTAAAAGCAATTAAAGCAAGATAAGTAACCGTTCTGTCCATTTTGCAACCAAGCAGAGCTAGTAAATTCCGGGATTAAATGCAATTTTAATGTAGAGTATAGGGAACTGTACCATTTTAGAGTGACTGGGAAAAAATCATCGCAAAATACAAGGACCAAGATACAACATCATTACTTAACCAGCTTTCAATGTTTACAAGCTACTGGTGGGAGAAGCATTTAGATCTCACACCATCCCCATCACCCTGCCAGCCGCTAAAGCAGGAGGTCATTCAGCAGAAACCACTGTTTTCAAATTCATCATCCTGGAGTGTGTGGGGTGTGTGTGTGTGTGTGTGTGTAATCCAATGATCAGGGAGTGTGT